AAAAAACACGGTGGGAGTTGAAAATCACTCGAGAAGCAAGAGAAACACTCGCTACACTTGTGTTCCTAAGCTTGCTTCTCTCRTGTTTTTTGAACTCCCACCGTGTTTATATCAGAGGACAGAGAAGCGYGCCRTTTTATATTTCTTAAATAGAATTCAAGATTGTGATTGTATTAGTAACTAGAYGATCAGCGATCGTTTACATGGGCTTCCTGTGGTATATCACAATCAGTAAATGATATTGAACCCTAATGAAATTAATATTACTATTAAAGACAACAGCAAAAAAAGATTTCCTTTAATGAAAAATAATCAAACAAGCAATGTACTTGAAAATAGTAGAATTTAATAATATTGTGAAAGAAGTAATTTATGTTTGACGAGCCGTTACTTTAAGAGTCACATCCTTGACAGATCGATAGTCTTTCATGTTCTTCGCTTAAAATACTTCCWATCCTCTGTTTTTCCTCAGTATAAATCTGTTGACATTTCTTAGATAAGTCCTTGGTGATTGTAGAGCCGGTACTAGTATAAGTTAGCTTTTGATGAGCTAATGTTTGATAKATAATTCACGATCTAAATTCGCTGTATCTCTCCAAATGCCCTTTTGAGAAATGCTCGAATTTTTTTAGTGGCTATGCCGCGAATGGTGTGTGGATTTGTAAAAGAATCTTSTAGCCTATTTGTAGAAGCTAGATGACCTAGATTCGACATGTTCGATCTTAAAAGGTCCGAAGAAGCATGAAGCGACCTTTTAATCGTTGCTTAGATGACAGTAAGACAATAGATGTCAAAAATGAAAAGGTCCCGGATATAATTTGADGCATACCACAGACGAAAAACGTCRGTAATTTAAGACATGGTCTTCCTTTGGAAGCCCATGTAAAAAGGTCTATTATACCATTGAATGAGACATAACAACTTAWATCAGAAGAAAYCCCAACAGTTGATTTTTATTGAACATAGTCAGAGTTTGGTTATTCCCTTGAAAGCCATGAGGCTTAGTGCAAATTTGCTGTGTGCTGKAGCTGAACAATTTGAGTGATATGGGGATGGATGGACTACACATGTTTGACAGTTATGCTTGTACCATGTCCATTACACATAACAAACTTTTGTGCTGTACATGGTATTGATCAGATTATTGTGTGTTTAATCAGTCAGTGTTTAATCAAATATGAMTCCTACKTACAGAGAAATCTTAAATCAGATTATTGTGCTTTTTTTTAGGTTGTGGATATACTTCATCCTAACCGTGCAAGTGTATCCAAGTCTGAGATCAGAGAAAAGCTATCAAAAATGTATAAAACCACCCCTGATGTTGTTGTTGCATTTGGGTTTAAGACAGCTTTTGGAGGAGGCAGAAGTACTGGATTTGCTTTGATATATGACAGTCTTGATGCTGTTAAGAAATTTGAACCAAAATACAGACTTGCCAGAGTAAGTAGAGTACAGTACTTGTTTACATTGAAAATAGTAAATTTCCTAAAGTAGTTGAACTTAAAAACTTGAAATTTGTTTAGAGTGCACGTCATATAAGCATGAAACAATTCTTAACTAATTAGCGCCTAATAAGATTTAGTTATCAACTAACTAGTAA